ACAACAGGTAGAACCACCAGCCTTAGAGCTGACAGTGAAGATGCGGAATTAGTTCACAGTTTCTGCCCTTTAGATCAACTATGAACAGTAAAGGGACCAGCATTCAAGAAATACGCCGCAGACTAGCATTTGGTAGAACAGCCATGAAGGCCTTGGAAAAGAGATTCAGATGCTCTGCCTACAGAGATCAGAATCATGCAAGCTACAGTATTCCCTGTGACACATTATGGAAGCGAGAGCATTGACACTTTTGAACTTTGGGGTCAGAAAAGGCTCCTGAGAAGACCGTGGACAGCCAGGAAGACAAACCGATGGATCATCAAACAAACCAATCCAGAGTTCTCGCTTGAGGCACCAATGACCAGGTTCAAATTATCCCACTTTGGACACATGACGTGAAGACCCAGATCTATGGAGGAGGCTCTGATGCTGGGAAAGTGGAAGGAAAGAGAAGAGGAGGACGACCAGCAGCCAGGTGGAGGGACTCAGTTTACAGCAGTGACGGAGGCACCATCGAAGGACCAGGCTGGAGACAGATCATCCTGGAGAAACTGTCTGTAGGGTTGCTAGAAGTTGACATCAATCAATCAATCAATCAATCAATCAATGCACCATAACAGTGGGAATAAAATGTGCACAGCACAATAGGTGAGAATTACTGGAATACCCTGGAAAAGCTGATTTTTCATGAAAAGTCTACAGACACATCCACGTCATTTTATGGGCAATAATACAGTAGTGGATTACTTCGCCATCCTCTATAGTTTTTTTTTTTTACTTCCCAGCTGAGCCTTGAGCCCTAGGATCTCCTAGTGGCCTCCCATCCAAGCACTGATCCGGCCTGACCCCACACTTTTAGCTTAGCTGAGACCAGCTAGAGCTGCTTCTGAGTGCTTGCAGAAGACTCCCTGTCCTGGCTGGAGGAAGGGGGAAGAAATCGTAGGGGTGGAGAGGAGTAGCACGCTGAAGATGGACAGCCCTGCTTGTGTCTCACACACACACACACACAAAACACAAGGCAACAAAGCCCGCACCGCAACGTGCACTTCTCAGGCACTGAATACGGGCTTGGCGGATAACGATCAGCGGTTCAGTAACGTGACTAAGAGCAGGGGAAGCGAGTCCACGCCTTGAGCCACGCTCCCTTCGAAACCTTACGAAAAGTGCGCTCGGTTTCTCTCATCTTTATTTCCTGACGTTTGAAAGCCAAAGGGATAAGGAGGAAACGGATGTTCACGAACCTTCACACGTTTCCTCATCTCTGTTATGCAGAAAGGCTTCAGGCAGACATCCGGTCTCCTTAAGCGTCAAGGCCATAAAGATATGGGGGGAAGTGGCCCCGATCTGCATTCTAGGAAAGGATAAAATTCAGAAGACCAGACGGGGCCCCCCAACTCTGGCTAGGAACCAACAGGTCATCAGGACCATACGTTTCCCCCAGTAAGAAGGACGATCCAAACTTAGGCCAATTTCAGCCAATCATTTGTTAATTTCTGTGCCTCTTTGTAAGAAACATGTATAAAATCGTCTTCTTCGGGTGTGTTCGGGGTTCTTCTCTGCCTCAAAGGGCGACCCCAGCTGACTCCATAGGCAACTCTCACTAAAACTTTAAAATCTCAGCTGCTATATTCGTGTCTGATCTTCTGCCGGACTGAATCCGAATTGAGGAGAGTCAAAAGCTCTCAAGTTTTGCTAACACTTTCCGCTCCGGCCGGGCGGCCCCGGGGCCCTTCCTCGCGCCCCTTCCGTGGCCACGCGCGGGGCGAAGCGCTGGCGGACGCCTGGCCCGCCTCCCCTCCCCTCCCCTCCCC